GCTAAGACGGGACCCCTGAGAATGGTGCCCACACTGAGGAATTGTTTTTCCTCTTAACCAGTCTAAACAGCGGTTGTCAAGGGCCAGTTCGTTCTTCCGGGGAAGTACTTGCATGACTTGTACATGGTGCTCTCTTCCATGGCCTACTTTTCACCCTTGCACCCGTAGAGTTACAAATCCCCAAGGGTGACAAGACATCGCCACATAGTACAGCGACATCCACAACATCGGGACACGGGGCGGCCGGTGGACACAATGGATGTCAGTCTGATAGTCCGATCCCGCCGCAACTTGAAGATTGCTTGGAGCATCCATGAATGGGATGTCCAATGGACGACCCGGGTTATTCTCGGTTTATGGATGTTTATGGGTGTTGATTGGACACCTCGAACGGATGGTCCAGGTAGCAAATGAACTGATCATCTCAAAGCCAAGGAGAAGGCTGCCAAGGAGGTTGGCATGGATCCAGAGAACTACCAGGCGAGTCCGACGGAGGTTTCCTTGAAGATCTCTGACTATATACTGCCGGACTGAAAGTTAGCGGCTCTACGATTGTGGCTTAGAATGTGTGTCTCATTTTCCTACACCTAGAATTCGTCCAATGCCCCAGTGTTTTGCATCAAATGAGCTCTATACAGTGGTTGAAGTTCCCTCAAAACACTTCAACAATACAGATTAGCCCAGGTACGCCCCAATATATTTTTTTAGACACGTCTTAGGTACGCCACAATGTGCTGGGAGGCATTCTAAGTGGTAGCGAAACCCTAGAATCCCCACCCCCTGGTAGGCATTCTATCTTTCAGTCCGTCGGTATATCCAAAACTAACTTGAACCACACATGAGTTCAAGATTGAGATCCAGCAAGAGATCGAGCCCCTCTTCTAGTGCGGTTTGTACAACAGTTGGTATTTTGTATCTTGGGTTGTAATTGAAACCCACATATTTTGGTGTGATTGAAATCCTACCACCTCCCACCTCGGGGTTTTGGGGTGAAGACATAGCAAGACTATGCAAGGCTCTGGTTATGCAAGCGTGTCACAAGTCGTGCCGTTCCTCCACTCTTCATCTTTGTTTGAGGGCCTTAATGGACTCTGAACATCTTTTTTTTACATTAATGCCGCCTTCTCTTGTATGTGGGAGCCACATCCATGGCCATATCCATCCAAATAGTCTCACATCTTCATTCTTCCACCAAAACATCACACAACATCCCACCATCACCGCGCCTCGCGGTCCAGGTGATTCACTGCGATTTGGCCAGCAAGCAGAGTGTGCGGAACTTCGTGCAGACCTTCCGAACGATGTACAACAGCTTGGATGCGCGAACGGGACCCGCAGGGCGGAGGGCGGAGCCCGTGTCGGTTTTGTCATCGTCGGCCGGTCGCTTCGAACGGTTATGATTGGGGCTTGCTGTTCGCTCGTTCACTGGTTGCGAGTACTTTTGAGTCAGGCTCGGATGCACTAGAAGCTTTGGTCTTTCACAAGGATATCGATTTGTAGGATATGCGTTGCGTCCAAGATGGAAATTTGCGTCATAGTCCATCGATCTACCTACCAAGTATCCATCAATCCATTAATCGCACTGTGTTTTTGCCGGTAATATGTTGTTATTTACCTAAGATATAATAATATATTTATGGTTTGTCTTTAGTTTTACAGATGCTATATGGCTATGATAATATACTAACATTGTTGATGTTTGTGTATACATTTGTCTATCGATTCATATCACTTGACTTCGTGTGTCCCTTCGTTGTTTGACAAAGTTGAATTCAAGACAATGGCTCCCGTCAAACTCCACGGCAGACAACCTACAAAGATACTAAAATGAACCAGTTGCTGCCAGTTCACAAGGCATTTTTTCCTACTAGCCCCCAAAGGCAAAACTCCTGGCTGATAACAGCCCACTACTGTTGACCTGCGAAAAAGAAGAAAGACACCCCTTTCTCCGGTGCACCGTCCTTCAGATCGGTCTTTTTTCCATCGTCACCGACCGGGTCGAAAGGCCTTGGTTTGCAACGCGGCCGTCTACTTCCCCAACGCCCACAAGGCCGCGGCGACTCCGCCGGAACGCGGCGGTTTTGGGTCCGGCACAGTAGGAGTGGTGACCGTGGACCCTCTGTGGGGTGACCGTTTTTCTAGTGTACACAGTAACGAAGTGGGTTTGGGGGGTCACCTTGCATGTGTTCAGCAACACCGTTGTTTCAATTTTTAAGATGAGTTTGCCAGGTGGGGGGATTGTGGCTACAAGGGGGGTACTGAACACAGACATTGTGCTTTATCAGGAACAAGCTTTGAATCTCTTGATCTCTTCTGCTGCAGGAGGGCGTCATTTTGCCGGGTCTCTTCCCGGGCGGCGGCCCTCGTTGGAGTGCCGAAGGCAGGCCACGCAGGATTTATGCGGTGCAGCAAGAGCTTGTTGGGCCGATGCTAAAGGTGGGGTGGAAGAAAGAGTCCGCGTTGGATTCCAACCCTTCATTCAAGGGTCCTCCCCAAACAAGCATGTTGATTCAAGCTTTTTGGGCTACAAAACTCGTGAAAACCAGGTCAACCTGTCTTTGAATGGCCTTTTAAGGCTAGGGTATGGATTGGATGAGCAAGTGTTGGATGCCTATGCACGACGTTGTTGAATGAAAAATTGATGCATGATTCATGATGTGTCCTATAGGGCTCCAAGTGGCACCCATCGCTACTGGACGAAAACGGAGCTTTTCTGGAGCCCAATACAGGTTATAGCAATGACCCTTGGCAAGTCCGATCTTTCGAGATGTACAGCAGTCCGCAGTCGTCCTGAAAGGAACCGACATTGATCGGGAAACGTAAAAGGAACAAGAGGAAGAACGATGGAGAAATTGGAAAAAAGTGATAAAAAGGGATACCCCTTACTACTAGCGTCCTTGTTACTACTAGTAAGGCACTTGTTACTAGAAGCGATGCACTTGTTCCTACTTTGCTTCCTTCCAAGAAACCACTCCTTTTGGTACCGCACCTGGAACCCAAACATCGAACCTGTCGCACCCCAACGGTTGCACCAGAAGCAGTCGACCCGACCGCAGATCGTGTGTATTCCAGCGGTTGATAGACGCAAAAACACACCAGTCGCCAGTCACCAGAAGTTGCGTCGCTTTGGCGGGGTGACTGGTGGTCGCAGGCCATCGGGTCGGACATCGCTTCAGGCCATGAGATGAGCTTCGCAGCCAACTACCTGGGTGGGCTTGGCAGTGAATCACTGGGCTGGGGAGATGAAGAAGAAGATAGGAACTAGAAGACCCCACGGGGTGGTTCATGGACACCCCTTACATCTCCTTACTTGGCACCCCGAAAAGGGTTTTCTGGAACAGATTTTGCTTATCATTGGATTTTCGCGGTCTTTTCAATGGATACAGATGGAGATAGAAGACTTGGCTATCAAAAGGGCCAGGGTACAATTGTTGAAGAATCCTGAAATATGTCATTCCCTGGGCAGTCCGGGAAATTGAACCCTTCGCCATGTCCAACACTCCATTGGAATCCATGGGTTAAATCACTATTTGTCCACTATTGTCCATGTTTATTTTTCGACAGATCCAATTTATCGTTTATCGTGCATGCGAAAGCTGGAATTTGAAAGAGAACATGTTGTTGTTCTACTGCCGCTTTCAAGCAGAAACGTCAACTAATGACTAATGGAATCAAAGTATATCAAACCTGTAAGAATTGTTTGAGAGTTGTTTTATGTTGCTTCCGAATCCTCCCAGAAGTTAGGCCTATTATCTCAGACTCTTTGATGATCGAAAACCCTCCTAGACTCTTAGACTCCAAGAGCAGCTCGTTGGTTTACTACCATTCATGTGGAAATGTCAGTCCTGATGATCAAGCAATTTCTCCACTTAGACTTGGCCAAGGGATCTACCCAACCGACATCCACTTCGTCCACGGCTCAGCGACTCATCATGTTCGGAGATTTGCTGAACCGATGCGACCAAAGATCGCGCGACAACCTGCTCCCAGGTCATTTCCTCCTCTGCAAGCTTTTGCTGGAGGTCTAGCTTGCGAAAGGGTCATGGCCATGTCATTCCCCCCCTGCCCCAATGAAGCCTTCATAAAGCCCAACGAAAAAGGGGGCTCAGATAGACTATGAGTTGGGGCATATTGTTTGTTCACTCAAGGCGGCAGGGCGGCTGACCAGGGCCCCTGTCGTCGAAACAGGTGCATCGCATGGTGAAACATCGTCATATTAAAGTAGACTGCTTAATATACCCTCCATATGAATGAAGAACTGTTCTGAACTAAATCGGGCGGTTATTAATCAAGAGTCTACAATAGTCTACATTAGATGGATATAGATGGATCACTTAAGATTGTTATCCAAGTACCAGCCAACTGGCTTCCCCAAGGCCAGCCCCAGCATTTTGAGGTTACGAGTTGGGTTTTGGGGGGTGTTCACCTAAGTTTACCTAGTGGTTGCAATGCTGCATCCAATTCGTACTTGATGCAGCATAAAACCGTTGACATTTGTTCTTGATGCAGCATAAAACCGTTTACTTGTTGGGTGAGCGTTAGGAATGTCAGTGATCAGTGTCCTGTTCAGTTGTTTGTTGCTCTTCTGCCAGCTCATTATCAACAAAGTACGCCAGCGGTCAAGTAATTTGCCATCCATGAAAGCCAGATACTTCGAGGAGCGCATGTAGGAGTTCTTCCGGGAGAGTCATTCGGGTCACACCTCAGTCATTCGGGACAAAGCACCGTCGACTCTGTAACTGGAGTGCTTAGTTCGTAAGGACATGTAAGGACTATAATATATGCATCAGATTGTATCATCTAAATCTTCAACATCTTCCGAACTCATGGTATGGAAAGAATGAACACTGCTACTACCGACCCTTCGTTGTTGCACATCCCAGGGTCGGCCGTTCCCTGATCTCCGAGCCAGGATTTGAAGAAGAGCAGCTTCAGTGCCCCCCCGCTGCGTGATTTTGGGCACGGTCACCGCCACGGTGAACGGTGCAGAGCTGGGTGGCATGATTCCGCCCTTGGCGCATGTGGGGAACTTCGAGGGCTTGGACCCTTGGATTGTGCAAAAAGGTGCGCTGGAGTTGGTGACCCTTGGTCATGTCCAGTGGGATTGAGAATGGTTTCTGTGCATTGGAAGCATGAGTGTGAAAAGTCGATCATGAGATCATGATGAGGATCATCACCAGTGATGATTGTTACAGTATGTCTACTGTATCATGTGCATGTTTTGCTGTGTGTACAGTTTGGTGATGTTGTGGGGGTTTCAAGGCTGTTGTAATTTAGTAGTAGTGATTTGGGGATTGCTCATCCTCCAATTGGTGCTAGGCGGTCAAACATACACCTTACAGCTGTGACGCTAGTTCGAAACTAAAACGGACCTCCGTGTGCAGAGGAAGGACTCAAGAACAGATCCAGCTGGGGGTGTGCCGCAAACTCCAAAAAGGGGGTACACCGGGTAAACCCAGCCGCATTTACAATCCCGCCCAACGGAACCCTGGCAGCCCAACGGTACACCAACGAATCCACCCACGAAGTGAACTCAAATGGATCCATAGGGGCACCGCTGATGAGTGAAACATCCAAGGCAACACAAGCCAGTCGCTGTTGGTCTCCAAAGTTTGCCCACAGGACATACACGAAAAGACGAACACGTCAGTGTCGTCAGTGCTTCCCCACCCTGATTCCCCACCCTGTTTGGTCTTCGGAACAGCATCTTCCCAGGAAACCGGTTTCGGGGATGCTGCGAGCCATGAGCCAGTAATGAATTTGCAAACCTCTGGCATGAAACATAAAACCTTGAAAGTGCCTCATGTACAAAGCAGGGGTTGAAAGGAAGTTGACCCTCCGACGAACACATCACATGGTTACGTGGATGGCATGGACGGAAGTGGATGGTTTTTCCCTCTACGACCAGGGTGGGGAAACTACGATTCCGTGTGATGTGTCCGGAGTGTAGCTGATGGACTGGATGCGGGATTCCGGCTTGGGTGCCTTCTCCTTGTGGTCTTAGGAGAAGGGCATGAAGGCCGGCGAGAGGAAACGGGGGGGAACGACACCTGCACCACCAGGACTACGGCCACATGTGCAACTTGGGGATGGACACTTGATGGACACGCCTCAAAACGGGATAAATAAGAAATTGTTACTTATTAGACTATCTTAGACTCGATCTGTCTCGACTATCCAAAGGGTGTCCAGCAACAACCCTTTAGATGGTCCTCGTATGTTTGGTGCTCGAAGAATCCCCGCATCACACGAACTGCTTGGCGGGATGCTTTTGCCAAGCATGGATGCTATAAACTGAGTGGGTCTGAATGTTGGTAGCAGCCAGCTTCACTGGTCACACAACAGCGATACCGGGCTGTCAGGCCATGTCAGGCCTGTGTCATTTCCTCAACAACCATGGAGCTTGGATCCCTCCACCGGTCCGCTCGCATTCGCTCCCTCCCCAGGGAGGCAGCTGACTTACCTACCTGCCTTCACAAACGCCATTCTTTCCAAGTGCTCCTCTACAACTGGCACATCAATCTTCACCAACAATGGCTGGACTACCCAAACACGACACATAGGGCGTTAAATACGACCTACGTTCACCCAAAAACCGCCCCGTCATTAAAGGTCATAGTGTGAGGATGTTTCAGGTATACACCCATGGCCCATACCCATGCCGCATGCCTAATCAAATCCGGGCCCCTCAAATGGATTCCGGGGCTTTGAGATGTTTTGAGGGTCTTTCCTTTCCGAAATCCCCGAATCTGCAGTGGTGAAGTCCTTCGGTGACGATGTCAGGCCCCTGTGACCATGCTCGATGGCGGCGCCTTTGATGGTGCCAAGGCCGCTTCAGCCGGGGGTCCGCCGGGTCAACGACCGCCGGTCAAAGGGGTTCGGGGACCGGTTTGAGGGTTGTAAAAATGATTAAAAATGAACATTGTCAAAGGCAGTGCCATTGGCCCATTGGTGATGAAGTGAGAGAAATGCCTACTGTATGTAGCTAGATTTGAGGGGCGCCCGAGCAGACAGGTTGTTTGGGTGCTTTGCATCTCCAGCACAGGAGTTTGTACTTTTGCTCCTCCATATGCCTTTCCCGTCCAAACTTGAGGTCAAGGCTGATATGAGGCTCTCCCAGTGGCTCTCAGGCATACAAGGACAGCAAGGTCTGTGACGTCATGTTGATGAAGGAGCTCCACAAACGCTACCACAAGGACCAACGGGCTTCACCCGTCTCGTCAGCTTTTCCAGGCAACCAGCCCCATGTTGGCTGCGAACCCTTCGGACCATTTGTCGGACCTGTTGAGTGTGTGTGTGTGTGCGTCGTCGGAACACGGTCTCCTCGGCTGGCTGGAAAGGATCCTTGGTAGAACAGAAGAACGTGTTTTTGGCTCGAAAATGCAGCGGAGAGTTCTTTCATGTTCTTTGATGCCACCAAAAAAGACGAACGTACACTCCGGTCGACGACTCAGTAACGTGGGGGTCTTGCGAAGGGACATGGAAGTGGAAAATGACTCCCTCTAAAAGAAGGAGTGGTCCACGCATGAAACAGGAGTTGATTTGAATTGTGCTCCTTTGCCTTCGTCCAAACGGAGAACGTCATAATGCCATGAATGGACGGTGTTACCAAAGTTAAAGCAAACACTGAAAGAATCGGAAAAAACCTACAAGGACCCTGGGCTTTTCATGACCAATTGGAATCCTTGATGCCGAAATTTTATATACATCCCTCACTTTTGGCAAGAGTCATGAACCTTGTTTTATAGAGGAAGTTACGATTCCCCATATCCCCCACTGGCTGGTGATCAGTAATTTCACAGCTTCACCTCTAACAAACAAACACCATAGCTGAAGGCAAGACTAATACCATGTAAGACCATGAGGGCTCCGGCCTCATGATGCAGCATGACACTCCTTTGCCAGCTGCGTTAAAGAGGAGACGGGCATCGTGTTCACCTCCCTCTATCCGGGATGCATCGCCGAGACGAACCTCTTCCGGGAGCACTATCCGCTCTTCCAGAACCTCTTCCCCGCGTTCCACAAGACTGTCACCAAGGCAATGAACCCCAGAAACAAAGTGGCTGTGGGTCGAAACCAGGATACCTTGATTGACGTACCGACATCAAACTGTCTTCTGTTGTCAACCACTGTACCACTTTGAAGATGTCATTGATGGTGATCTCAAGATTGAATATCCTGTGGAATCTGGTCGGCAAAGCTGTATGATCTGACGGAGGATCATCAATGTGCTGATATGATAGGAAGGCCTGAAGACCTCCTTGATGAACTGGAGAGGCAAGTCGTGTACCGCCAACATCTGCAGACACATGAAAAAAATATCAAGTGCGCAGGTAAGATGATCATTGCGGAAACCTGGTGGCTGCACAAGTGATGGAACATGAATGTTCACATCAATCCCACAACTGCCTACTTGGGAATTACACAATTGGTGAGGTTGGTCAAATATGTCTGAGAGCTTTGGCTCCAGAAAATGCTTCTGAACGATCAAATGTGCATGGGGAATGAAGACGGATGATACTGCAGAGAATGAGTCTGTGGACCTACACTGCATGAGATCCCAGATCACCCTCCATAACTGGTTGTCTGAAATGATCGTCAGGTCAGTCTTCATCACGTTGTTGTGAACACAATTGATATAGTGTAAAGATTCGAATATCTGTTTCGGAAGTAGTCGGGCATCGAGCAACATCTTGATCTCAAAAAGGGATATCTCTTCTGAACTCAAACAGTGACTCAACACTGTTGCTGCAGCTTCATTGCTCAACCAGGAGTCCACTCTGTCCCTGACAATGGGATTTTGATTCGCAGGAGGAATTCGGACATCTCGTAGGGTGCATGTCCCAGATCGACCGTTCCGTTGTGGAAAGTGCGAAATCTGAGTAAACAGCCTACAACTGCGATTCACCTCCACCAATGTCAACGGCAAATCTTTGTCTTCTGCAAAGAGCGTCTGTAGCAAAAGGGCAAACACAATGACATCACGTCGAAATTGTTCGCCTCGTAGCCACACTTCATTGTCTCCATGGGCAATGAAAAAGCAATACCATGCAAACTGGAGCTCGATGGCTCTGCAAGTACTGAAAGCTGCTGGTTCTCCCAAATTAGAATCATCTTGGAAATCTTCATTGCCTGCAGATCGATCAGGCCAGAGGGGATATACCTTGTGCGAAATGCTGTCATATACCACGTCGATGGTATCCCACAACATCACCTGGTTCCAAAGATCCTTATGCAGCTTAACATGCCGGATACCCAGCGATGCCAAAGTCACCTCAACAATGACATAGTCATGACACTCCAGCAAGAGCTGCCGCACATGGATCTCACCCTGACTGAACCCCCTATATCGAAGCATGGACCTGCTGGAAAGATATCGATGAGATCTCCATTCACCGGACATGTTCCCTGCCATGGCCCAATCCGCACGGGAAACCCGCAACGGCCACGCCATGCGTGTCACCAAAACACGCTGTGGGCTTGAGCCTAGTGGCTTTGGTTAACGTACCTTGGAGGTCAAGCTACATGGTGATGGGGCTCCAGGTTTTGACCCACAGCCAAGTAAACCAGGAGAATCAAAAGGAATCTGCCAGGATGACCCAGTTTGGATGGTATTTTTCCGATGGTAAGCATATGGTCAAGGAGATGGTACATGCTGGTATCTCCCTGCTAAAGCAGTGAACTAGGACCAGGATGTTCCACTCGGTCTGGTCCCTGAAATCCTGTAGGCTCCATAAATCTCACCCGTTACATGATCGATGGACAAACCAAATAGATCGATGGACACATCTCATCAACCCGACGCCAGCGGACCGGACCGCTAAACTCGGAGGGCCGGTTTGGACGAAGGTTGGGCATTCCACAGATATCTCAATGCTTTGTCCCCTTTGGAGGAGTGGCATTCTAATCTTTGAGCTACACATGCCTTTGACTAGTGGCACCAGTTGAGCGTTGAGCTGGGACTGAGAACAGACTCATACGTCCAGCATTAAGGCACCAAAGGCTGGAATTGAGTAGGGTCCCTGCACACAAAATGTGTACTGTATCCATCCGGGTGCACGTCAGGCATCATCTCAGAGCAGTTTCACCCTAAAAAGTGAAACATCGGCAGGGTCCGGTAGGGCGGCTCGAGAAAAAACTGTCGTTTGCATTCACTACCACATGTGGGTTGTTTCTTCTGAGTGTGGCCGGCTTTCGTGCTTTTCACTGTAAGACCGAGTCGGATGCATCCTACAGGTACAGTCAGCGGAGGTCCCCTCGGTCACAGGGGTCACCCTTGGATCCACTCCGCCCACCCGAACGAGCTCATGACGGCGCTGTGCGCCAGGCGTACGTGAGCCAAGAGGAGGCTGGGCAGCGTTGCTGGGCAGAGTTGAATCAGTGTGAAGGGCGCAGGGAATCCACGAATGGACGAATGGAGGAACTCGAACTTGGGAACAAAGGAGTTTGAGGTTGTTCAAACAAGGAGCTGTTCAGAGCTACAGTGAGTTCCGAACCCCTTGCTAGATTGATTAGGGGGGCCACTCAAGTCACGAGAAAGATGTTTTTCTCTACCTGAGTCACTCGCCTCGGGAATCTGAAGACTTGGGAATCCCATGCAATTAGGTTTGGGTATGTCCAGTGCGGCAAAAAGGGGCGGTGGCACCACATCCTTTGGCTCTTAAAAGCAAAAGATCCTGGCAATCTTCGAGTGACCATGTTCGATCGGTGGCGAGGGGTGTATTCTTTTTGGAGGCAGTACTGCTCAATAACATTGAGCCTGGTCTTTATCAGGATGTTACTTGCGTGTTCGAACTAGCGTCCTGGTTGGTCAGGAACGAACCTGTTTTTCTGTTGGGATTCATGATTGCACCCTGACCTGCTTTTGAGAAACTACGGATAGGCAAGCGTGCGGCAGGCATGGAACCAACATGCATCACAGCCATATGTTACACCGCAAAAATCCGCAAAACATACCTTGTCTCTAGGACAGTTCAGTGTTATTCAAAATGGAACGCAAATGAGCAGGTTTGGAGCCCATCAAGGGTATGTTGTCCAGAAATTGATCCTCCCATGCACTTTTCCTGGAAGAAAGAGAGGCACTCAAGACTCCTAGCTGAAATCCCAAGTGGTTGCCAAAAGAACAGCCTTTGGATTTCCAGCCAAGAGTCCTTAGGAGGGACAAGCATGTAGCATAGGAGGGTGGAGTCCTCGCTGGGAAGCAACAATCAGCTTGGGTTTCTCAGTCTAAGGCTTGGCTGCCTGCGTGGCGGATGAACGCTATGGTACCAGTGGCAGCTACTATTCCTGGGAGGGCGAGGCGGGGCCGGTTCCGCAGCGAGGTCCCGCAGCGGGGGTGTGCGCCAGTCGGACGAAACGAACTGCAATAACTATACTGTAATTGTTTCTATACATGAGTTACATCCCAACATATCCCCTTCCTTCCCAGGTCAACCCCAATGATACTTGCCAGCGCAATACACCCAGCGCCACCCAGCGGCCCAATGTTTGAAGCCGCCGCATCGGACGCGCGGGAGGCCGGCACGGGCGGTGGTGGCGGCCGCGAGGCAGTGCAGAACACCGAGAAGGACTGGGGTCAATGGGGTCACGGTCCGTCCTCGGGTCAGCGAGATGGGCCAGATATGGCTAGATTGAGTTGGTTGGAGGAGGTTGGAGGGTGAACATTGGAGAATTTGCTGGGTCAATGAGTGAGAAGGACCCGAGATTCCAACTTTCTGGAACTTCTGGTTGTATACTTATTCTATATTTAACATTATATTTAACTATATTTACATGTTGTAAATAGGAGTTTGGGGCAAAGACTATTGTAAGTAGACTCCTCACATCACCCGAGAAAACCCGCTGATCCGGGTCCGTATCTCTTGGAGCGAACCCAACGGCCCAGTGCAGACGGTCTCCACTCGGCACCGACTTGCGAAGAAGAATGCACTGGCCGTGGATCTCATGCTACAGGGACATGGTGTGAAAAGCATTGCAAAGCTAAGGGATCTATAGTGAAGATTCATTTCTTCAACTCATTCTACTAAAGAACTTTGTTTGTTATGTGCCTTTCAAAACATGTGGTCTCCTGCTTGAACGGAGCATCCGGGCCCGGCGAGTTCAGAACATCCAATTTCTCAGGTTGAACTTTAGAGAAGACAAGCTTCAACATCCGAAGCAAAGAAAAGAACAAAGATCACAAAGCGAAGACATCTATACCTGGATCATATATATATATATATAAAGAGCAAAATAAAGAAAGGAAGGAAGAAAGAAAGAAAGAATGCTCCAGCATCACCCTCCAACCTTCGTCCCTGGCGGTAAGTTCTCTCACTGGTTCGGCTCGCCAAGTCATGGAAGTCGTTTGGGTGTGTATTAAAACGCATGTTCTTCCGCTTGGCAAAAACTCAGCGTCACAGCGGTCCAATAGACACATCACATGAAAGAGGAACACCTCCTATTGACACAGGAACATTGATGAGTAGTTATTGTGAACACAGTCGTAGGTCTTCTCATACCTGGATCTTCAAACGGCACTATTTTTTGCCGGAGGTATTGTTCAGTGAAAAGACACCGTAATCAAAAAAGCTTGCCGTTTTTGGAAGTTCATGGACGGGGAAAGATGCCGTTTGGACGCCTGAAGACGCCGTTTGGAAGCCTAAAAACGCCGTTTCTTTTTGGTGTTTGCCGGTTTCCGCTGGTCACAACAAAAAGCGCCGTCTTTGGAAAAAGACACCGTAACGGCATTTCATCTTGAAAAGGCAATTAGTTGTGCCGTTTCAATAATCCTGGCATGTTCTCAGGGACCATTTTTGACTTCCATGTAATGGGTATAGGAGTGTAAGGGGTTGGTTGTACATGGGCAGGGTCAAAGCACGACCACCTTGGTATTAATTGACATTTGCTCGTACATTGCAACAACGACAAAGACACACCAGGTGCTTGAGAGGTTGCGATCACCCAAGTGTGTAGAACCAATGGTCTACATGGTACCACTATGTACCAACCAACCCCTTTCAAATTCCTTCCAAGTGACGTTCTACGACGTTCTCCATCGGACCAAACTGCCTTCACCTGTGCCTGCCCTTCTCGCTGTTCTCGGTCCAGCCGTCTCAGGACCTCGACTGGTTCATGAACTACGGGAGCTTCCGTACCCTGAGCATCGACGAGATCGGCGGCGAGGCGGCGGACGACCAGCGCTGCAGCGCCTCGGTGCTGTCCGTTCTTGGGGAGAGAGAAGGAGGAAGGGAAGGAGAAGAAGCAGAAGCTGCACCAAGACAACCACAAGAGCTTGGGATTCCAAGACCCATCCAAATCCTTATCAGATGAAGTGGGAGAGAAAGAGGAAGCTGCAACATAGGGCCGTCTTGGCAGCTTGGCAGGTGATGGTTTCAGCATGAAAAGAGGTGGTGGGCCACCCATCAGCATTTACATGTGGTTTACATGCGTTTACAATAGTGGCATAGCGTTTACAATGTGTTTGTGGTTCCGAGTCTTTGATGCCTGCCCTTTGCTTTTGCAGCACAAGGGTTGTGTCTTTTGGAGATCTACCTCTTTCTCAACAAAATTAACATGTGGGCACTTCAACCATTGGGTCATTCCTTAGGCAGTATCAACATTGATGAAACCAGACAAAGCTGGGTGTACGCGTGGATAGCAAGGCGTAGAGGAGGGTGTGTTCAGCAATTATTGATTTAGGCATTGGATTTTAAGGACAAGACAGTCGAAACACAACGCCAACCCTAAACCCATGTTCCGTTTTTAGCTTTGCAGAAGATGCTTGGGCTGCAGCTGCTGGAACCTATCACCAAAAGGATCGCAAAAGGGGTTTTTGTACGCTTCCGATTTCCCATTCCCGGGGTGGCACAATCAAAACCTACATTTGGCCCAGTCCCATGGGACTCATTGACCAGGGTAGTTGACTCATTTGACCCATGGTAGTTGACTCATTGGGCTCAGGGTCAATGCAATGTAAAATATGATCATCAGTTGGTGGTCAAAATACGATGGGGGTAGCCGACCCTCACTGGCAGCTACAACCGGCGATAAATATGCCATTCATGGTCCGACTACGGTTTTTACGAGAGTCTTCGTGAAATCCGACGGTCGGTGTTCTCGGTCTTACTTGCCCGCAAGGTGCGTGTTGCGGGTGACACACAGCTACAGTCGGGAAGAGACCCACATGGAACCCGAGAATATCTGAAAATGGACCTTTGGAAGAAGAATGTTTCCTCCACAAATGCGCGTGGTTTTAAAGTTCCGGGTGTACCGGTCACCTAGTAGCGTCCTTGTTCCTAGTAGCGATGCCAGGAGCCCCTAGTAGCTTCTTGTTCTTAGTAGCTTCTTGTTCCTAGTAGTATGGCCAGGAGCCCCTAGTAGCGTCCTTGTTCCTGCGCATGTGGATGGAATTCCCGCCAAGGCAAGCTGTGGGAACTCTCCGAAAAGCTGGTGGCCTAGGACGTCGAACTCGGACGTCGAACGCAGCGGCTTGGTTGAGGAGTGGGTGGCCAGGAGATGCGGGGGCGGAGGGAGATTGGTGTAGAATGGTGTAGATTGCTTGGGTGGGGCAGTCATAAATTTGTAGCTGAAAGTTATATGATGATGGCACATGATGACGATGTTCCATCCAGATAGAATGTGAATCTTTGTTTGACTGGTTGGGCCACGCGTAGATCAGGGAAAAGCGGAGCTGGACTCGTTGGTGCGGACTTGGAGGTCCGGCACCGTTGGCCGCGCTTCTTGTCACCTCGAGGTTCGGTGCTTGTTTCTTTCAAGTCCCACTTGGTCCGGTGGAGCTGCTCGGTCCAATTGTCCACCCAGGTAGCTGCAAGAAGAGCATTTCTTCTTGCGAATGGAAGTGCAGCGACACGTATAGTGCAACTTGTACATATATATATATACCATATGTACTTTGGCTCAAGGATCAAGCGACTAGAAAAGGTGCGGTTTCCGTTCCGACGCTACGCCGCTTATGGACCGTCAGTGATAGCTTCAAACTTCGCTGATTAAGATCCACTCGCAGGTTATCAGCCGTACGCGCTCTTTATAGCCGTACGAGCTACACGAGACCAAGAACAAGACTAGTCATTACAGAAACCTGCAATGTCAAGCTCAGGAGGAAATGGAAGCGAACCCTATTCATTCGCTGCTCCTGGTGGTCCCAACACCATTTCGTCACCAGACTCTACAATGGGTACTGATTCATCAGCAAATGCTGACGTTATCACTATGCCTACTGGATCACAAATCTCGGAAAGATCCGTGCCACCGGCTCGGAATCTGACCGATCTTGCACCCGTAGGACCAAGAAGATCGATGAGAGCTACAACAAGATCTACATCGCCTATAACGTCTACCGCGAGATCCCCAAGAAGGAGTATAGAGAAGAGACGTGACGATGATAGAGGAACAAAAGAGCAAAGAAGAGAGATTCAGCTGGGTGAAGAATTGAGATCGGCGAGAAACGCATACAATTTTCTTCATGAAGAATATGAATGCATCCAAGCCGGATACTCACGACTACACCACGAGGCTGAAGTGGAGTTCAGGCAAATGTCTGACTACAACAGGAAGATGCAGGAACATCTACAAAAGATGACACAGGAAGATGAAGGAGCGACAATAAGAATTGAAGAGCTCGAACACAAGCTACGCTTGGCGGAATCGACAGCTGAACATATCTACATGAGATATCAAGAGCTTGCACAAGAAACTCATCAAGAACATTCAGAGCTTGAATCTGTGAAAGCAACGAAGGACAGAATGTCCCAAGAGCTTCAAGCAGCAATTGGACACATCCAAGAACAGAATGAATCTTCATTGGCGATCAATAGAAGATCAAAAGCCATTCAGGATGAGAACACAGCCTTCGTCGGAATAGCTGACCAGATACAAGCTAGAATGATTGCGCTACAGGATGAGAATGTCAACATGCACAAGGTGATCCAACACCAGAGAGAAGAACAATGGAACAGTGAGGTCAGGGAAAGACGTCTTCAACACAGTGTTCACTCATCTCAAGATCAGAGCAATCAGGAAGCTATGGTTATTGATCATCTACGAGGTCAACTAGCTATGGCACGTGGAGCTGAACTCAACGCGAGAGCGGAGATAGAAGAGATGGAAGTGGGCATGAGGATGGAGATATTTGTATGCCAGACTGAAGTCTCTGCTAAAGAAATGGCAGAAATGAAGGCGAGCCACCATGAATACGAAGCAAACGTCGCAAAGGAGGTTATCGCAAAAGGAGAAATATTCAACAACGAAGTCCTAGAAGGTTCCATCCGTGAACGACAACAGTTGAAAGACGCCAACCTCGCTCTATCCGAAGCCAACGCACAGCTGAAAAGAGAGAATATGATGAGAGCTCCTATGTTCGGCGATGATGGTGCTGAAATTCAACAGAAGATCAGAGAACTGGAGAATGCACTATTGGAAAGCCAGAAGGAGACAAAGAATGTCATTATGGAAAATGCGAAATTAAAAGCAGAAACACGAATGGCACCCATAGTCTCTCGGTACAGCAAGCGTCCTAGTTCCAGAGACCGCGGGTTACCAACCCACGCGTCCGAGGAAGATGAGATTCGGAACGCAAAAGAGGAGGCGAAGCACTACAAGGACGGGTACAATAAAATGACAGAGAGCCGAGATGAGATGTATGAATGGTATGCCGAAACCCACAATGAGTACGCCGAGGAAAGGGAGAAATCAATTGAGCTATCCGAGGCGAACAAATCATTGAGGGACAAGATTTCAGAAGCAGAAGCATCCTCTTCATCTCATCTTGCACCGGCAACCTCTACAATCATGAAAGTATCGAGGAAGGAAGAATCAAAGATAAACGTTCCGTCATGGCCCAGGATCAATGATCTTGGACTATGGAAGGCAAATCTCATTCAATCGATCATCATTGCGGCCAATGATTCAGATCAAGAGCCCTGGATCGACTGGATCAAAGAAGCCATGGACGATCCTGATCCGGACAAGTTTGTCGACTCAGGAGACCAAAGATTCCATTCAATCGATGCCAAACTCGGCCTAGCTCTTACCAAGGTCGTCATGGATGCGAAAGATGATGGTTCAGGTGTAGCTATGAAGTTGAGGACGAGGATCAATGCAAAAGGGAGAACATCAAGCCTCATAAAGGGAAGAGAGGTCCTAGCCCTGATCCTTATGAATTTCAAGACAACATCAAATGTGGAAGTCTTATATACTTCAATGCACCTCTACCAACTAGAATATCAAGGAGACAAGAACTTATCGTTGTTCTTCCACACTTGGGATGAGATTCTGGCAGGAATGAAGCCCGTTGACGTCCCGAGCGACGAAACTCTTCGGGATCTCCTATGGAGAAAGATCAGGAACTCAAACCTCATGGCATACGACATCAGCGCCTACAACAGCATGAACGACGATGATGCCAAGAAGACATACAAACATCTACGTGATATGATCAGAAGGCACATCGAACGGCAAACTGAAGACAGGATGATCCTGGAAAAGGAGAAGGCAGTGAAGAATGTGGCCAATATCTTTCAGAATCTCAAACCAGGCGGACCTGCTCCAAAACTGAAAGCTGCACCAGCTGATCCGAAGAAGAAACCAAAAGGGCAACAAGAACAGGTTGTCTCAGAAGACGCTGCTGCAGTGAAGCCGAAACCCAATCCCAAGAAGCATCCTGAAGACAAGAACAAAAAGGGAAAGGGGAAGGGTAAAGGTGATGGAAAGGATCGCAGCCGAAGTCCGAGTACAGACAAGAAGAAGATACCATGCAAATACTTCGTGAAAGGTAACTGCACTATGGGGAAAGATTGCGATTGCCCATTCAGTCACAAGAAACCCAGATCACCATCCAGAGGATCTTCTGTCGGAAAGAATGACAAGCCAGTATGTTGGATGTGGATTCGAGGAACTTGTGACAAAGGGAAGGATTGCAAGTTCTACCATGACCCAAAAGCCTCTCCTAAGAAAGGGATATCTGCACCAGCTGACTCAGGAGACGATAGGCCAAAGCCCAAGGCAAAACCCAAACCGAAGCCTAAGGCGAAGCCTGGAGCCCCAGCCATTGACGGTGAACTCTTCATGGACGAATCCGAAGATGAAGGGATTGCTGCATCCGCCAAGGCAAGAGAAGGAGGTGCAAAAGTATCCTTTGATGAAGAGACTTGTGAGATCATGTTGAACGAAGCGATCTACTCAGTCAGGGACAAATGGAAGGTAGTAGAAAAGAAACCTCTACGTCCGGACATCAAACGATACGATGAGAAAGAGCTCACCTGCTACACGAGGAAAGAACAAATCAGATTTGAAGAAAAGGTCGCAGAGGCGAG